ATATAAAACAGTCAACAGATCATGTTAGAGTTAGGTTAAGGATCCTATATAAAGCATTGAAGGAAGTTGCTATGGATAGAGAGGAGTGGAAAAACATTTCATTAATGAACTAATGAATCTACGGATTGATAAAAAGGTAAATAGCTGTGCGATAATGTTCCAACCTGAGAACTTTCCCGTCATTCTCTAAAAATTGTTTGAGCTTGTCGTCTTCTATTGACCGACTGCCTAATCCAAACTTTAATGCCAATGTTGCTGACTGTTGATTCTTCTGCTGAAGTAACTGTTGGCGTCTGGCGCTCATATAAGGATCGTCGGGCACAGGTTTGTCGACATCCACTTCCACACCCTGACTCGACAAGAATTGTCTGGTGAAAGAGTTGCAATTACACAATTTATATACGACTCCGTAGAAACTGAGTTCCACGCCGTTATTGAAATCGGACCAATGATAATTCCTGTTCTTACGATGTGGATTCGGTATCTTGTCGCGTCTCAGCAGACATCCTTGGACATAACCTGCGTTCTGATGGTAATTGGTAAAATAAATACAAATTTAATATCTAGATCAGCATCATCAAAAAAAAAGTACAACCTAAAAAGTAGGTAAGATATAATCGAGAAAAAGTTAAACCTCTTCAACGGGTTCCACGACGCTAATTGTGTCGTCAACCAAAAAATACGTAATCTTAACACGCCGCACTCTAAACGTGTCCACAGCTGATTCTGTAATAGTCTGTTGAGTGAATCCATTGAAAGAGAGACATTTTCCATCAAATAATATGAAATGTGGTTGAACAATTGGTTTTGGTGGATCTTTTGCTTGTCCATAGGTCAGTGTTGGATTATATCTACATATTATTAAATTATGTACGTACGACCGAAATCATAGTCGCATTATAAAATATAAATAATATAGTTGACTATAGTGCATAATATTAATATATAACTATATAAGTATAGGTACTAGGTATTATTATTTATTGGTTGTTACGCATTGCGCTATATCCGATTGTCGCCCAATTTTAAGATATTTTGACGAATAACGATTAACGTTATACATATAAGTTATAAGTTATAACGAAATAAAAAGAGCAGCGGTTCCCAAACTTGCGTAGTTAACGCCACCCTGCAAATTAAAAAAATTTATTTCACCTCCCATAAATTTATAACTATTACGGAAATCCCCAAATCAAGTTTATAATTGTATAACGTGCCTTAAAGTAATACTGACGTAGTGAAATATTTTTTTAGAATAGTTAAGACGTAACAACAAAATTATTGTTGATTAAAAAATATCAATATTTACTACGCCTCCCCTGCCAAAACCTCCCTCGGGAGTCGCGCCTCACAGTTTGGAAACCGCTGAACTAGAGTGTACCACTGTAGACTGTAGAGTATAACTAATAACTATATAACTATTAAATGACAAGGTATAGTTAGGTAGGTACAATAAAGATACTTATATAGTAAGAACGTAAGGTGTAAATTTCAATTTAATTTTATTTTATTTTCAAATGAAATTATAAAACCCATCCATAACAAAATTTATTTAAATTCACTATATTTTTCTTTATAATATATAATTTTTTGTATATAATATTAAAAAATAAAAATTATATCATCGCAATAACTTTAGTATGGACCTTTCAAATTAGTTTCAGTACAGAAATACTCGTGTAAATATTTTTTTTTCAATTTTCATCAAACAATAATTGAATACTGCAGTAGGTATAACATTTAACTAATGATATTTCCACATTTTCTAGATTTTATTTTGGTTCTAAAAAATGGAGCGATGAATGTAGATAACTATAAGTGGCTAAGTATACCTTTACCTTAATTGATTTTGTCAATGACTCTTTTTCTTTTTATGTGCCTAAAGATACTTTTTCTCGTAGAAAAAATATTGGGATTTTCAACTTTCAGTTAGGGTGATTTCTGGTAGAACATTAGATCTAGTTGGTATTTTGGAAGGTCAAAAAAATATATTCCTAGTACCTAGGTAATTTACAAAATAACCGAGAAAAACTAAAAACAAATTAAGGAATTACGTGGATTTGTATAGCTACGTACAACCAATGTGGTTCATATAACGCAACCAATAAATCTAAAAAATATATAAATTACATTTTTTATTAACATTTTAAGTTGAAATTTGGGTGAAATTAGACATTCAAACAAAAATAACGATTTGATTTTTCCCCGATTTCAGTCTATGTCTATAGTACGCTATTCTGCCATTCTGGTATACCTACCTGGCTACCTATTGCCAGAGTAATCTAGTAGGCACCTGGCACACTATACTACTACAGTATGAGTGTAACGTAACTAGGTAGGTTACATAATAATTAATAGTAGTAATATCAAATATAATTATCTAGTTATAGTATTATATTATTACAATATATTATAAATAAAATGTGTGTTAACACTTTAAACTGACCCTGTAGATCCTAATGTTTTACTGTATTGTATGAAATCCACGTCTAAGGGGGCTTTTCCAATGCCCGTTGGTTTGTCTTTGGGAATAGCATATCCGTTTTTCCATCGAAACTGAGAGCTTAAATGGTGATCTTTTTTCTACGTAAAATATAACAATAATATAATTAGCCATTGGGTAATAAATAATAACTAATAAGTACCTATAAGTACCCATCAATTTGTGCGTTATTGTATATAATATATTATTAAAATAATTATGTTGAATCAATAATTTATCTCTATACCTGTAACATACAGGTTACAACATTATTCTTACCGTGATGTCTGTAAAACGAAATCCTGGTATAAAAGGTAGACCATCCATTTTCGTAATTGTACTTGAATGGAATATACAAGCAAGTGTTCATAGTCCAAGATTTAATCAATAGTAAACTTGGTTACCAAGCGGGGAAAATAAAGTTGAATTATACCTATAGGCTATAAGTTATAACAAGTGGTGTAAATCGTATTCTGGAAACGCATATTTATATATATAGCTGTTGATGGTGGTTTATTAATTGGTCGTTGAGTAACTCTTCACACCCTCCCTTCATACTCGATGAAAAAATATTATTATTATACCTTTGATTAATTTTATATATAATCTCTCATAATACCTACATCACATTCTTTAATATGTGCGTATGTATCTCTATTCTATATTTCTAAGTGTATAACATAAGTGTCTTGGGTACAAGGTGGATCTACATAAATATAACATTCAAAGTATTATTTTAATTTTAAAGCTCGTTTGACCAAATTCGCAAAAATCACGAAAATTAGCAAATTATTTTAAGTTCGAAATTTATAAATATTTTCTTTTTATATCTTACATTTGAAAATATATTACAAGATTCCTTATAAGTGTATGTACCTTTAATCAAAAAAAATGTCTACAGGGAAGTCAAATGAAAGTTATATGAGCTTTTGAAGTTGACATTTTTAAAATATTGGATAATTACTAGATTTCTCGTGTAGCGATTTTCTTATTTTGTAGTAATACAACAACGAATAACTGTAGACATTTGAAATTTTCATCGTATGTTTATTTCATAAATTCATATACATACACTTGATACAATTTTCAAAATATTTTGACTTGTTTTAAGCTGTTGACGGACATTTTTAATTTTTTTTTTATAAATGTCAATTAAATTTTATTAGTTGGATCAAAAAGCATGAAAATGTAATACAAGACTCTTGATATATTGTTTCAATATCAGTTGAAAATTATTAAAAGTACATAGGGCATGATTTTTTTTATTTACAAATGTGAACGATGTTAAATATTAAATCACTAAGAATTTTTAAATTTATTATTATATTTTTTGTTTTTACACACAATGACTTCTCAAATGTATTTTTTTTTTGGTAAAAATGAATTTCAATCTACTGCTTAGTGCTAATGCTTATTAGTAAAATAAATTACTTAATCACAATATCATAAAATTACTAAATTACTAACTAATATTATAGGCTGACGGTCAGAATCGTTTTTCGCATACAATGATTTTATATCATTGAATTCAAATTTAATACCATCCATTACAATGGCCCACTTGTAACCTTCTGTGCAGCAGAGCATCCACTTACCTCCTTTTTTTTGGCCAAGTTATTAATGTGGTCTTGTTGTCATGAAGATTTGGAATTTCGAGGGTCTCCGTGCATATTATTTCTATAAATACAAGAAATATGGCATATGCATGTTTTTAAAAAAATACATTTTTGGCAAGGGCAGGATAGCTAGAAGGTAATTAAAAAAAATATACTAATTTATTTATGTTTACAAGTCAATCTGTCTGAAACTTGCATCATACATTCATGTCCCAAGCCTCCACAGTGAAATTTTCAGCAAATAATAAATATTTAGCATCATTTCAACTTTGGTAGTTTTTACATTTTTGATTTAAGCTTGAAACCAAAAATTTAATGTGGGGTTATAGTTAAGTATCTCCTATAGAAGTAGTATTCTACATTTTATACAAAATTATTAAGTAAATATTTTCATAATTTGCACATCATCCGACACTTGTAAGTTATAGCAACCATATAGATATTTAATTCACACCTGCCTTTGACCTCCTATTAACTACCCTCTTAAAATAAAAGTTGTAATTTAAACAAAAGGTAATAATATTAGTTTCATAAATCAATAATCTACTTAAAATTTACCAACTGACCAAATGAAACTATCTTACCAGTAAATTATGGAAATATATACCAATTAGTAGTTACCAACAATGACTGGTTTCCATTGGTTGACATCGCCAAGTCATCGATGGAATTCCCAATATTGAAGGTAACATATTATATGTAATGATTTACCATTGAACTTAAATTAAATACATAAATTAAGGATAGTGAGCTACACTCAAAATCAACTTTACAGCCAAGGAAGTTTCTAAATATACTTGCATTCCTTTAGAAATTAAAAATGTAAGCTTGTAATTTACTGTTCAATAATTATTTAATGGAATGTTTAAAGAATAAATTGTCCATAAAATCACAACAGTAAATAAGTGAAATAGTTAAAATAACTCAAATTTAATGTACTAATCGGTTTTAACATTTTTATTTTTAAAAATTCTAACAGTATTATCAGCTCCACCGGACAGTATTAATTTTTGATTTGACCAATCACTGCACATCACTTTCTCTTCGTGGCCCGTTAATTCAAACAATGGTACTTTAGGGCTGTAACATATTTATTTTTATGAAAATACAACGTATTGTATTATATAATAGTATATATATCAAATAATTTATGATTATATTATAACCTTCTAGTATCCCACAATTTCATTTGATTATCATAACCACCAGATACAAACTGATATTCTTCTGATTTAGACCATCTGACAGTGGTCACCCATTGTGTGTGTGAAGAGTAGGTACCTTTAACTAATGATCCCTCTAAAAATAATCATACTTTATTAAAACATGTTTTTAAAATTTTAAAAACAATAGCAGAAAAAATGTTATACCTTTTGATCTTAGATCATATAATCTAATATGTCTATCAGATGAACACGTGATTACAGATCCATTCAAATCTGAGTAATCATGATTGAAAAATGATTTGTTACCAACAATTTCGGTTTTGATTCCACCTATCTCTCCATCCCAATGTTTTATAGTATGATCCCAAGAAGCTGTTATTAGATCAGAGTTGTTAATAAACTGAACAGATGATATATTTTCTTTGTGGCCTTTTAATGTCATGATTGGAGGCTGTTAAAACATGTTATAAATATAATAAGTATTAAAAAATTTTAAAGAATGTACTTACCATAATTTTTGTTTCGGATTTTAGTTTCTTAGCAGGTTTATCAGCAGGCTCATAATTTGGATCTAAAAAGTTTTAATAAAAATTAATGGAAGAGTATAATTCTATTACACAATGTTTGATAAAAAAAAAAAAATGTTGATACCATGATCATATTATCAACAAAAATATATAAGACAATTATTCTTTAATATTATTATATTAATAGTATATTTTAATTTTGGTTGAAACAAATTTTAAAATCATTAAAAATATTAAAGTTGGATTTGTGTTTAAAACTATAATTTAAAATGTGATTTATTATATTGTTGTTTTATGTAAGCTAAATATAAAAAAGTTTATACCTGATGACCAAATTTTCAACATAGTGTCCCATCCACCAGTAGCAAATCTGGTTGAATCTGGACTAACACTTATACATTCAACGGATCTTTCATGTCCACGGCCAATTTGTAAACAATTGGTAGTTCCTTTTTTTATATCCCAATCCCAAACTCTAATTGATTGATCTTGAGAACCACTAAAAATAATATAATAATAATAATTAATACCTACTAAAATACTTAATTAAATTAAATATTATTAAAATTATGATTAGGCCATTTACTATTTAATATTTAGTAATTTCAATAAATAATTTTACACATGCACACTAGCATAATTTCATAGATTTTAATGAATTAATAACTATTTAATTGTTTTAATATTATCAATTCTAATTATTTACCTAACAAATGTTGCGGAATCATTTGAAACAGATATCCATTGTACTGCTTTCACAGGACCAGTATGCCCTGATATACCTGTTTTATGTTTCCCTTTGTTTGTCCATATATGAATTGAATTATCATAACATCCTGTTATGATCCTGAAAAAATTCCATAAAAATGATAATAAATTCTACAAAAATGATATACTATTGCCGGGTTGCATGAAAAATGTATTAATTTAACTATTCAATAAAATTTAATGGACCAATCATGACCCGCTAAACCATGTTTAAGGAATTATAAAAAAAAAAATGTATGCAACATACCAAGGTCCCATAGAATGTATAGCGGATACCCAGTCATCATGTATAAGGCAATCCATTGGTTCGGGTGAAGGAGTAGCTTCCATGTATTCAACAACCACATTGCTTTCACTAGATACATTTTTGTGTGACAAATGAATATCCAAAGGAGTGCGCAGTAATTCACCATTGACCAAAAAATCAAAATCAACCTTTTTCACAACTCCATTATCGTCAGATAATTTATCTAAATAAACCAATCAGTCAAATATAATATAGTGAATCAATTCAATTAAAAAATCAAATTAACATATTTTAAAACAATTTCATTAAACCTTTCAATAACTCATTCACTAGTTTGTTCAAATTTTCACATTGGATTTTTGAATCAACAGCAAAAGGAAATTCTGGTACAGCATAACTGAAAAAAAAAAAAAATGTTTCATAGTTATAAATAAAAATAAGTTAGCATTATAAAAAATATCATAATCCATCACAATAAACCAATTGGGTAATTATAACTACATGTTTTCTTGTGTAGTCCAGTATTATTTTGAGTTACATTTATACAATTATTAAAGTAGTAAAAACTTACATTTCTTGTTTTGTAATGAATTTTATTTGGATTTGAGACCCTAAATCGACTTTCTTTCTTGAGCGGTCCATGATTAATACTTACAAAAATTAAACTTAATGAAAACAGATAATTGAGTTGTAGGTTTTTCCTAACATAGTAACATGTCGACAAATCATAACACGTGCTTATCATTCAAACAATCTGAATCTTATCAGTAATCAATTATCAATATTTTGAAAACAGTGTAACCACAGCTGAATACTTGTTAAGAGGTAACATAATTTTACTCTATGAAGTGACCACACCGTATTATGGCATATCTACAGTGTCGTGCACTGAACGATAGTATCAATCAACCGTTGTTTTAAATCTGATAGTTTTGGCGGGTAAAAAGTTCATCTATTAAATTGTTATCATTATAAATTATAATAGTATCCTTATTCCTTCTATGATATATTTATATTATACCTAAAATTACCTATAGGCTATAATATTACCCGTGTATTTTAAGTTATTTTTTATTTTATTGATATTATACTGTTTTCTTTAGAATAAATACATACATTTAAATATCTTGAAAGTTATTTTATTAGTGGCTTACTGTACTAAACGATAAAATATGAATTTTAATGATATGCATGCTTTAGCTAAACGTATAGATGCTCAGGTTAAATCATTAGAAGCAAAAGTAGCTCATCCTATGAGTATGATGTATTCTAACAATTCTAGTCAAGGTGTCAAAGTACTATCAATGTTGAAAGATATGATCAAGGATGTGGAAAATAAAAAGGTATTTAAAAATAAGTTGAGTACTTTTTTACATTTATTTAAATATTTATAGCCAGGGGTCTAACCAGCTGCAGCCCACCTATTTTAATAATATTGCGGTCCACATTTGTTATAAAAACTTGTTTTAAATTATTAAAAATGTATTGAAAAATTCATGCTAAACTTAAAATGTGTTCAATAGCTTTAATGGTAAGGTGGGCCTTTAGATGCCGGTTAAAGACTTCTGATCTATGAATACATATTATTATATTATTATATTATTATGATAACAATAAACCTTAGTTATTATTATTTAATACTATTAAGTATTAAGTTTGGACAAAAAAAAAAATGAATTAATATGCTTATTATTTATAGCAAGAAATTGAGAATTTGATACAAGAAGAAAACTCAACATGGTCAGGAATGGTAGAAGATTACAACTCCGTTGCTAAATTTAAATCAGAAGTTGTTGCTAACTTGAATGATTATGAAAATTTGTGGTCATCTAACTATCCTGATTATAAACCATTTATATCATATAGTGATTCGGATTCTGTAAATGAAGAATTAAATTCTCTCAATGAACTTCATATACATGATGATAGACAAATAGCAGATCAGTATCCTTTTACTTAACTCATTTTACCAATAATAAAATAATATGGTAGGAAAATGTTACTTCTTGATTTTTATACATATAAATGGCTGTAATTTTTATCAGTTATCTATATATACATAATTAAATACAAATAAAACATTTAAAGTATTCATTCATATTAAATGTTACATTTTAATTTGTACATTATGTTTATCAGGGCCACTCTTAATTCTTACAAAGCTGGGGGAGAGATATCATTGTGAGCCCCTTCCTCCTTAGTTTTCACCCTCTACCTATATACTTAAATATAAATAAAACTTTTTACTATAATTATAATCACAAAAAAGTTAAATAATACATATTATTATTCAATTGCCTACATGAATTATTTTATTACTAGTCATTAAATTTATTCTTATATTTAAAAATTAAGAAAGTAGAATACAAGTACAACAATTTGCTTCTGAAAATCGAGAATAGGACGTTATTTGAATGAAGTTTTATTTAGATGATTATTTAGATAACATTTTATTTGAATAATCATCTAAATAAAATTTTGCACAGCTCTGCTAAAAATGTTGCAATTAAATTACTATATTCTAAATTTTTTCACAAATTGTATTTCAATTGAAATAATGGTGAGATCAGAAAGTTAGTCTTAAACCAAAGTACGCAAATAATTTTTTTTTAATTTTTAGTTTTGAAAAACTTCTCCTGGCATTAGCTGTAGTTATTGGCATTAGGTAGAAGTATAATGCTCAAAACCACAAAAATATTAGGACATTTGGACATATTCAAAACATTAAGGGTTTTACATGGACGCTTATCATATGCAACTTATTGTACGCGTTTTTAGTCTACATTGGTTAAGTTCATACCTGAGCAGGGATACACGCCATTGTCTGAGTGCCGTGTTTGAATTTATCCAATGTAAATGGCCTTAATACATTCCAATTAACTTTTTTTTTCATTTAAAGTATGTTACAAAATATTTTTATTTCACTAGGCAAATCAATACTAGCATGTATTGACTCTTAATATCTGTTATTAATATCTAATACAATGTTTCTGGTATTCTAAATTATCGATAGACTTGAGTTTATTAAATACTGATTACTTTTAACATTTTTAGAAGTTTTGCTGAGACACCACACTCCGCTCTCAAACTATGTCAGTGATGTGTGTGTTAGTATGAATATTGAACGGCATGTGTCAGTCCGTCTTAGGCATTTTTAGCTGATAAACAATACCAGTTCTGGCACTTTCTGAGTCCTTCTGGTCACCACGGTTGCTAATAACCAGATAATGCTGGCAGTGGATGGCACTCTTTTTAAATTTCTTTACAAGTTGATTCAATTCATAAATCAAAAAAAATTGTTCGACTTTCAAGTGTGAAACTCCTATAATTCGATCTCTTCCCTCCCTCTCAAGAGAGGCCCTGATGTTTAGGCCCTTACTCCTTGGATGAGTTTTCATTTAATTTTTCCTTTATTTTCTTTTGTTAAATATGACATAATATTAATTATATTGCATTTTGATGGTCCAATAAAAATGTCTGAATTCCTTATGTGGTTCTCCAAAAATATTAATTAGTGACCCCTATCTTAGATTACAGTGTTAGTACAAACATTTTATTAAATAACAAGAATATTTCATCAGCCAAATTCTAATTTCTAATTTATTTTTTGACGACTTTTAAACATAACAAAATAAACTAATATAATATATTTCCTTATACTCTATCATAAGATCATTAAATGATAGTCTCAACAATGTCAATATCACAATGTCTTAATAAAGTTCTACTTATTGGTTGCAATGGATGTTGGCTGATAAAAAAAAATCGATATTTTAAACTCAGTAACTACCTACTATAATGTTTTAAAAATGTATATAATATGTCGTGTATAAACAATTTTACAATGTTTTTTTTTTGATATATTGTGAATATTTTAAATAAATAGCAAGTAAAGTAATACTAACGAGATTAACTTTTTTTTTTTTTAAATTGTTGTGTTTCAATTATATAGTAAATATGTTTTGTAGTTAGTGGCGTATTTCTGAGGCGGGAGGGGTTCAATTGGTAAAAGGGCGGTGGACTCCTAGAATTAAAAATAAAAGGATAAATTAAAGATATAGAAATTTTAATTTGATATTATATTATAATACAATGTAGATGATGTTTATTCATTATATAAATACATTAAGTGTAACAATAAATAAGCAACAATTTTCTTATAACAACATATATATAATGTTAGAATTTAAAAAAATTGTTGGACTCCCCTTCCCCCAGAAAACAAGTTGAAAATACGCCACTGTTTGAAGTATATTTTATTAATTTTATTAGTTATTAGTATTATCTACAATTCATAGTAAATTGGTATTTTTTAGTTTTTGTTAATCATGAAATTTATGTAAGAACCTAACATTTTCATTGCTAAATTAACTGTGTATATGTGGTTAAAATAAATTGAATTTTTGTATGCATACTTGACTGCCTGTTTCCTGAATATTAATAATTTATTTAGCAGTTTTTGATCCAACAAAACGCAGTGTGGCAAGGCTCTAAGTCATAAATGCATACCTATGTGATATATATAACAATATGTGATCAATATTTGATAGTTCATGCTATAAAAATCCAAGACTGCCTATTTGTAAAGAAATATAAAAGTTATACTTCCCAATACAAATAATTTTTTTTTATAAATTACTAAAAATGTATTCTCTGCTTACATTTTAAAATGTATTAATATAAGTTAAATATTACATAGTAAGCTTACAAATTAATATTTTAAAGGAAATTTCAAGTTCACAATTAGGGAAAGGTTTTTGTATGTATTGAGGTATTTTTGTATTATTTCCATTAAAAAAAATATTTATTAAATTGAATGACTTACTTATAAAATTCTCCTCTCAAATCTATGTACAATTATTTTAAATTGTTATCTTATTTCATCGAGATATATTAAGTTTTACATAAGCAAGACCTTAACACTGATGGAGTTTCCATATATCCATTACAAGTAAGAAAATAAAACAGGAGGTGTTTACATTACATTTTTTCATTACCTTTTTATCTATTCGGTACTCTTGCAGAGTTTATAATCGCCCATTCACTTTTCTGTCTATTAAGACGCTGAAGTAGAAAATCAAAGCTTTTTTAGTGCCCCAAAATGTGATGAGAAACACAAAAAAAAAAATTATAAGATAAATATTGATAAATATTTGGCTCCAAAAAGAATAAGGAAACTGATCACCAATTAATATATGATGCCAGAACCATGATGATTTGAATAAATTGTACAATTAACCTGATATCAATAGCAATAATGAAAACTGAAGAAAAAAAGGATTAGATGGGCAGGACAGACCTGTTACACAGAATAGGGAAAATGATAAAAAATTAACTTTGTGAATACTGCGTACCAGATGGACCGGTGAGAGTAAGAGATTCTGGGGGCGACTGAGAAGTAGGAAAGGAAAACAGACTTGTCTATGGAAAAAAGCCCCGAAATACAATCTCCAGAAAAAAAGCCTCTGAACAACAAATACTAAACATTCAATGATTATGCTCTAATTAATGATATTCTTTATTTTTTATTTTAACATAATGTATTGCCGTGCTAAGTTTAATATATTTAAATCTACATTTATTCTGTATAATTTTAATATGGTTTAGTAATTAATAATAATTAGTAAGAACAATAAACATTATTTTTCATAGGTACCTAACCATATATCTATTTTATTTATGTAATTGTAATATAAGACCTTCATGTTCATTATTCTCAAGATAAAGTAAAATGTCAATTTCTTTAGTTTTGTTGTGAATATATCACATTGCAGTGTGTTAAAGATGTACCTATACCAGCGATGGCAAACCTTTTGAACACTGAGTGCCCAAAATTACCTTTTTTTTTTTAGAGCGTACCATGAAAAAAATATTAAAAATATTGTATTTTGTTATATTATAATTTGATTGTATAATTAATGTATTAGTTTAAAAAGGTTAGTTTAGGTTATTATGGGTCCTTTAATAATATAATATTATACATTATATAATAGTAAAAATTTTTGCGTGCCGCCTTGGGCACGCGTGCAATGGATTTGCCATCCCTGACCTATACCTACATCCTACATGTATTTTCTATAAGAATTGACTTAAAAATTACTCTAGAAAAAACTGCACTATTTGGTATGGGTAAAACAAAAGTGACACAGGTGTTCTGGAACACACTTTATAGGCATGATTTATAATATTATGTAGTATGTACATAAAGATTCTAATCAAATTGATCTCATTAAAGATCATTTTTTTAGGGGGGCTTGATAGGAGTAGACTTGAAGATTTGGCAAAATAAATAGAACGATGGAAAGAAGTGGTAGTTGTGGCAAGGACCCTGAGTCCCCAAATAACCTGTATTAAGCCAAAAGCAGTTTTTATATTTAAAAGGGAGTTTCACGCCTTCGCAGTAACGTTACAACATACAAGTCTAACTATGCAGCGTTATTAGCCACATTATGTTGCAGCACCACTTTGAAGGGAGCGTCAAAATAATAGTAATCTTTGCTACGATAACTGACAATTTCTAGTATGCAGACTACCTGTTACTTTAGGTGTATTGTAGCGACGATAGTTAATCGCTACAAATAAAGTAGCGTGCTACTGCCCTACTGCTGTAGCGCAGTGGCGTGTTCGGATTTTTTGGATTGGCGGGAGGGGGTGGGTATGAATTCTTGACTATTTTCAGACCATTTTATATGTACGTGGTGGTACATTCATAAGCCAAAGGGGAGAGGATATTACACCCTCATCCTCCTTGAGCACGCCCCTGCTATAGCCTCGCTACATTAGCGATCTACTCCCGTCCACCGCTTATGAGTTATGAATTATGGCACATTGGCATAGACACACTTTAATATAAGCTTTATTAAACTAATTATTATTTACATATTATGATGAATATAGATTTTTAGATTTTCTGGAGAGTGGAGATCTGTGTGACTACACCGTATCGGGCACATAAAGTTTTCCTACAGCTGCAGATAGATAAGAATTGAGTTGGCTGGAGTTCAAAATTGTATCAATAAAAAAGGTCAGACGGACTTCGTTTTGAAGTTACTGATGAAAAACTTCAAAAGGTACATTTTTTTCGTAACGCGGCTTTAAAGAAAAATATTTATAATTGAATATTTAAAAAATTTTTTTTCAAAATGTGTGGTTTTTAACGCTCAATAGATTGGTAAAATTTAAAAATTGGTAAGTAGAAGTTAAGGTACTCAATTTAGTTTAAACAGTCCAAGCCAGTGTAACATGTGAGTGACCTGGCCGCTCATTACCTAATCTCATCAGTCATCACTGTGAATACCACGGGCATTGTTTGTAATATTTTTTATTAAAACATATTTACATTTTTGACATAAATTTATTCCAGCATTTTTTTTAAATTTCATTTTTGAAACTTACGTATTTTAATAAGTTAAGAACGATAGTGCAAAAACCAATTTTCGGAAACCATTGTTTTTGAAGTTATAGCCTATAACTTTTTATAAGCGTTTGAAGTTTAAATTTTCACAACACATTGAATATTATATTTATTAATTATTATATTATTATTATTTTATATTATATTCGTTTATTTATTTATCTTATTATATCATTATTTTATAATTTCGACTTTTCATGGAACGGTTTTCTTATTTTGTTGTAATTCAAATACGAATAACTGTAGATACTTGAAAGTTGAAATTTACACCAAATGTTTATTTTAACATTCCCTATACTTGATACAATTTTTATTTGTTTTGAGCTGTTTACTGACATTTTCAGTTTTAAATTTTTTTAGTTTTTTTTTTAGATTAATGTCAATAAAATTGTATTCGTTTTGTCCAAGGGCTTAAAAATGAATTACAAGTTTTTTGATATATTGTTAAAACAGTAGTTAAAAAACATTCAAAATACATAGTCACGAGTTTTTTTTTATAGGCATTTAAATTCAAATTTATAATTTATTTTGTAGCTTAAAATATATAAAACGTTCAACTTTTATAGTTAAGAATTGAAAATTTAAAACAATGTTCCTCGTAAGTAGTTAATTCTGTAACCAAAAAAATCCAAAAAATATATAAACACAGGTTTTTGTATGGTTATTATAAGTTAAATTTTTGACGAAATTACATATCAAATAACCAAGAATAAAGATTTTAGTTATATTGTTGTAATTTAAAAATATTATTCATAGGTACTTGAAACTTGTAAAGTATACTATGATATAAAAATATTTTAATATGAAAATCATATTAATTCAAACTATACCCGCAAACCATATCCTATAATTGTTTTTCGTATACAATGATACTATATCATTGAATTCAAATTTAACACCATCCATTACAGTGACCTACTTGTAACCTACTGTACTGTCTGTATACCAGAGCGTCACCAAGTTAATTGTTTTTTTTTTTACAAGTTATATTACAATAAAACAATTTATATTAACTAAAATAAATAGCGGGGGCATGCCACCGTGGGCGCTCTTGGGTCTTGAGTATACTTAAACAGCGTTAAACCATAAGCATAATACATTATTACTGGCAGCCTTATAGGTTATTTATAAATTATAATTATATTTGTAAACATTTTATACATGTATTTGTAGTACAATAAAACAAAAAATTAAAATAATTTTATACCTAGTTAAATTCATGGTAAATTTATAGTATATAAAATAGTACTTAATTAGTAACTAATTAGTAATTACCTACACATCCTTCTATTCGACATCCAAAATTCAATATAGATACTTAAGATACTTACTTATGTATACCCAGCACATATAAATATATAATAAGAAGGTAATCACTATTTTTTTTTTTTTTACTTAGCATATTCAAAATTCCCTTTATTATTAAGATTGTTTCTCTTTAGATTTTTTATTTAACAATCTTAAAATAACTTTAATAATTAAGTAGTAAAGTAACACGAAAATTGTTGTTATAGATAGGACAATTACAACCAATACATCGATTAAATAGTATTGGTACCATGGCATACCGGCGGCGGCAGACCGAAGATGCGGCGCCCCTTTGTGTCGGATGACATACTCTGTCCAATATACTGCAGTTTCCAAAGGAGACGTTGGTCGATCACGAAAAGCTTCTGACAACTCTTTAGCCTTTTGTCTGTATCTATATTTAACAAATTAATAAATATTATGAATATGTAGTGCATACTTATCATTGCCAATTACAATCATAAAGTCATAATGACTCATTGACTCATAACAATTATTGACGTATTACTGCAGGTGGACCACGACCCGTAATATCAAACATTATAAAACGATTAACTTACTTCGGATTTGTGAGCATGGATGTTATTTTTGTAAAAATTTCATCTTCATTCAAATCTCCGTAATTCATCATCTCTGCACCTCCTTTGCTTACAACAGCTTTGATGTTTGTCATTTGATCACCAAAAATTGGCATTGATAAAATTGGAACACCTTCATACACAGCTTCGGTAGTTCCCAATAGGCCACCGTGAGATATAAATAACTTAACATTGGGATGAGCTGTACATAAATAAAAAAAACATTGTTTATATACAATAATATTATGCTATTAAATTTAAGTAATACAATAAATCATACCACAAATTTAATTTAAAATTTAAAATTGCTGCAGTACAAACCGTACATTTGCGTATACATGTATAATTAATTTACGTACCTAATATATCTCGTTGAGGCATCCATTTGCGAATCATTACATTGGACGGTTTTCCTGGTAGTTCTCCTTCCCATTTCCACAGAATTCGTTGTGGAATTTTATTGAAGACATTTAAGAACATTTGTCTTTTTTCAGCTGAAAAAGTTTCACCTCGTAATAAACTGCCCATGCAGAAATAAATTACTCCGTCCTCAGCTTCATCGATATATTTCTGTATGTCCTATATATATGTGTAAAAATAACTGAATTATTAACTATATGATAATACATCATAAGACAATTCAACAAAATATTAGTGTTAAACAATGTTATTTTTATTTTGTTTGTATTCAAACCTCTTGCAGAGGTTTTGGCGGTTTTACGTGCAGACCTCCTACTTCGACAACGTTTTGTGGTAGAGGCCTACTGCCCCACAAAGCATGGTATGTGTTTACAAACAACAAGCTTGTCCTCAACACTAACTGATCTAAATGTGATGAATCTTTATAACGTTTTGAAGCGATTTTCTGAGAGGATATCGACGATCCCGTATAATATTTATAAAAAGCTACTGATCGCATCAGTGTGTTATAAATCCGTTCTGCGAAATTCATGTGCGGTCCGTACGTTGTCATCAGTACTGGTATGTACGCAGGATGAGTAGACGCCCCCATGCGATCGGCAGACCACACAAATAACGGGGACGTAGTCCACGCAATGAACGGGGCTTTGAATCGATCTATCAACGCCAGGTATAGGTCAGTGTTACATGTTTCGGTCACAATTAAATCGTAAGCGTCTTCTGGCTGATCGTACAGTTGACGCAGTGCATCAGACTGTGTGTATTTTTCTCCGTTGCTCACGATATGAAACATGTGCTTATAACTATTTAAAGTTGATGGCGAATACATATGATCCATAGTCACGTAGCTTGGGTCCAATACAGATGACGTATTGCTGATTTGTATTCGCTTGTATTGTTCGGAGGCAATGTCTGGAAAATGTGAATACACCGTCACATTATGGCCGCGGCGATGAAGTTCGGACATGTAAGAGTCGAAAATGATCTGATGACTAGGGGCTTCGATCGGAAATACACCTAGAATGTCTGCACATAAAGCTTCTTTGAAAAACGAAAGAATAAACAATTGTAAAATTACAATATATGAGTTGCAATTAATCATTTCCATGTCGATTGTATTTGAACACACTACCGTCTACCGGTCTACCGGTCTACCGGAATACAAACATATTCATATTTTGGAAGAAAATTATCTACTTTTATTAATCTATTGATTAGAAAAAAAAAACACCTATCGTTTTTTTTTTATCAAAACACTAACTGATTATAAAAACATATAATAACTATTAAAACTATATTATAACTCAACCGACTTGGGTTTTATAAATTATGATTTTTATTTCGTATTAAAATATTTAGTAGGTGCCTAATCAGTAATTAATAATGCCATGATTTAATGATTGGTTGTAAATGTTCTATTGAAATAAAAACTATCATCATGATAACAAAAATTAGATAGGTACTTAAGCGTAAACATAGTACTTCTATTATATGCAATGACTGTATTGACTCTATTGTGTAATGTGTATCCCACCGATTTCCACAAAAACTGGTTCTAACGGTTTAGATTCAAACATTGTGAAGTTAGTCTTAATCATAGTCAAATTAGTTTTCAAAATATACGGATATAATGAAATTTCAATGTTAAAATGTTGTTTGATGTTTGCTCCGTTTCTTATCCGTCGTCCGATACAACATTTAAAACCAAATAGTTTTGCTGTATGATAAATTGTATTTAATACTTTTGCTATAAAAATGAATTTTTGGTTTTAGGATAGACAACATTGAAAGTATATTATTGGCTAACGAATATGACTGTTGAATCGCATGCTGATTCCATGGCAAAAAGTTGCAACTATTCAGAAATATAAAATGTATGTCGAACTTTAATGCAAAACCCAACAATTATTCGTCATTAAAATGTCCTCTAATTTCTAAATCAAATTTTTAAGGACTGTTTAAAAAAACCTAAATGATATTACTTTGTATTTCTTTAATTTGATTGCCTTCGAAATGGGAGATATATTTTTTTGTTATTGCAGGAAATAGGCATTGCTCCTTTAACTAATATATTATTTATGTTTGGATATTCTGTCGTATAATTACTTATAATAGTGATGCTGTGTCCTTGACTTGTAACTTGCAAGTCCTTGAATCCATGGAGGGTAAACCAAATCATAACTTAAGCCTTAATGAGGAAACACAGCTAAGATGTTTGCTGAGTCTACTGGAGAAACTACTGCTACACTAATAATTACTGTTACAAATAAAACAATCATTTTAGGTGTAGTTATATCTAGTTTATTAAATATTATTAGTTAGAATATTCTATAATATAATGTTTGAACATTGAACACTCTTGTATTTTAAAGATAAAAAAACTTAATAAGATTAAAATTTATAAAATAAATTACAATAGTTAAGTGCTATTATATATTTTACTAGGTACTTTAGTCAATAACATTAAGCTCAATATTTAGTAAGTTAGGAAAATGTTAACCATACCTATATTATGTATAATATACATGCAACTATATTAAAATGATCCACTAAAATACATAGTTTTATCGTATATTGAGTCAGATAAGAACAAAACAACAAGACTCATTATTGCTAATCACCGACTAATGAATAACTTAATGAATGAATATTTTGTATTTTCATGCCTATATAGGTAAATTATTAATTAGAAGGCGTAGGTATACGTATATCAATTAAATTAGCTCTATAAAAGATAAGATTAAGCCGTTGCGTTAACAAATAACAACTTGGTATAAGACGTCTTCTAGAATAAAACATTTTAGCAATTTTTAGTTGATTTTATGGATAACAACATTTATTTTAAACGATAATATGCTGTATATATAGCCATATAGGACATAGGTATACCATATTGTTAAATGCCAGTATACACATTTTTTTATGAAAATTCTCAGTGGCGTAGCCAGGGGGGAGGCTGAGGGGGCTACAGCCCCCCCCGAAATGTTAATAAAACTTAAAAATTATTTTAATGGTCTATGGTATTCGATCAAAAACTAAACCACCACTGTGTAAAAAATTGATCAAACCCACCCCCGAAAAAAAATCCTGGCTATGCCTCTGAAAATTCTAACACAATTTTCTTCAGAAATGGTTTAATTTCAAACTTATCACTTGTAAGAGTTTAAATATTGATTAGTTATTAATTAATACACTTAATTGATGGAATCGTATGCATGGCCATATCCATAAATTCAAGTATGTAATGGGTACTTACTAAGTAATGTACTACAATTAAAATAGTATGATTGTATGATTTATTCAAGTTCATTGGCTCAAATATGTTAACTACAGCGCCTAGTAGTTCTATAGTTCTATACTTGAAATGTTAACTATGTTGTGGTACATGGTCTCTAAATTGTCTTATAATATATATATATTTGATACAGGTACGTACTCTAGTAGGAGCGGGTGTATTGGTCGCCTTCCCCACATACATTAACTTATTAGTCAATACTGACATAACGTGGATAGGTAGTGTGAATAATGTGAATAGTGTGAATTGCCAATTAAACGTTTGTATACTTTATAAAAACAGTTTAAAATTAATCTGAATACTTTAAATATTTTGATGTTTTTAGTAATTATAAATATTGATGTATATATATTATATACGTAATTTTGAAAAGTATCAAGTCTTAAATATTTGTTGAATAATTATAAAAAAAATTTTTATTTTTCGTTTTGAAGGTACCTATTTAATTTTGTCAAAATTGGAACTTGACAATAATATATGTTCTGTCCATTATAAAAAATGTTCATAATAAGTATTTTTGAAATTTTTAAGTTTCAGTAAGCACAGCTGCTTATGAGGAACATTGTAGTAATTTGTATTTAGCTGTTATGAATGCAATACCAGTATACCACAGATAATAATATCTTCTATATATTTTATAATTTATTCATTTTTTCTAATTAGTAGTCAATATTATGTAAGTACATAATTAATGCACATCCATTATATCATTAGGGCATTAGGCACATTACAAAATTACGTTTTATGTATAGATACTATATGATACAGTATTATATATGTATATATATACAGTGCTTGATTTGGAAAAAAACCAGAAGGGGGACTCAGAGGATGTTTGACGAATGAGTGTTCCACACAAAATTAACTATCACATTACCGTGGGGGCAAAGCCCCTCACACCCACCTTCAGCCACCCATATTCCCAAAAAATCATTAAATGTACTATACAAAAATATTTTAATAGAAAAAAAACACTTGTTTATTCCTTATTTTTTTTAAACATTATTTTAATTAATTATTCTACAAAAAAAAAAGAAAAAAAAGAAACTACGTATTAATTATTAAATAAGGTCCACACGTTTACATATGAACTATCTTCATTTTTAGAAGTTCTTTTAGGACAGTTTACTTCATCAGAATTTCTTTTTCTACTTTTTATCCAGCTTTCGACGTATTACGATCTAGTTTGAACAGTTGAATGGGAGGTCCGATACAGTTAATGAAAACTAATGAAGATATATGCCCTGTAGTCAAAGCATTTCTTTTTGATGTAATTATATTTTTATTGCACTGAATGATCTCTCACATTCAGAGGAAGAAATTGGAATTGTTCTGACTGCAGTCAAAAGAGGATGTAGATAGTTTATTTGTGAGGAATCTTTTGTACCTACCTTTAGACTCACGGAATCCTCGGATCGTAGTTTTTTCATCTAAATGAAACCTTGTAACTAATCTTCTAACACAGTCATCTCCATACAGAATATCAACATTATCAGGCCAGTTATTAGAATTTAACACATCCAAATCTTTTATAAGTTCATCAAATTCACTTTTAAAGTCATTTTTATTTTTAGACACATGAGTTAGGTTTTATCCCCCTTAATATTTCACAAGATCTCCGCCTATGACAATGTATACTAATAGAAATTAAATTTATTACATTCCAAAAAAAACCTTTTCGGAGTTCATAATGATTTATCTTTTATCTGCCGGAATTTGTCATGAAAATATACCTTTTAAGTGATGAAAATACCTCTTTAAAGGGTTGGTCTAATTTTTAATTTTTTTAGTTATGGGCAATTCAACTTTTTTTAAGCAAAACCGGACCTACTAAACATTTGCTGATGTAAATTGTCAACTTTTTATCGTTATTTTATGATAAGCGGTTAGGTTAGGTGAAACGGTTTGTCGGCTTGGCGACGCTCGCAACATATTTAATATTTTATATGTATTTTGTCGTTAAGACAAAGCTACATCACTATACTTTTTCGTTAAGAAGGCCAATCACCGGAGATGTTTTACCGCCGCTCATAATCCTGTTAGATATAGGTACACAGTTCTAAGACTTATCAATTATAGTAGTATCACGTAGTATAAGGTCTATAATTCAAATCCTATCGATTCCTTAGATAATATATAAGATGATATTTTTTATTATCTTTAATGGACTCTCCTCCCCATAAATATGGAACTATTACGGTAAGGTTATTATTGTATTATAGTAAGTTGTTGATAAATACGAATAACGAATGATAGGAATTAATTTATATAAGATATGATCAGAAATTTACGATATCAATTTAGTAATTGCAATCAATCTACTGTCGCTCGCTAAAATTAATGTGATTGTTTGATGTGTGGTGAGTTGGTTTACAATCAATTTACGTACATAGCTACCAGCTAACCAGGTAGGTATTTGAGTGGATCCTTGATAGAAATGTAAGAAGTCAGAAAATATATAGCTACTTGTAAATGTTGATTGATAGGTACATCATTAAATGAAGCGTTTAAACTTAATTTAAACGTGTATGCGGTAATCATTGTTTTCTTAGCAAGAATGTTTGTAAATGTTTATTGTTTATATCATTAATATAAAATGTAAGAACGCTGATTGTTGAGTATCTATGTATAGCAGGGCTATTATTACAACTTATACAGCCATTAATTATATTTATAACTATCGACCTTATATTATGAAATTTGATGCCCTGATGGTAAGAACATTTTTATTTATGTTTGTATTACACGATAGTTCAATTTTTTAGCAAGGTTTGCATATATAATATTGTAGCGTTGATAAAAAATTCTCATAGCTCACTTAGAAACTGAATTCAATACATTCTTACAAAGTAAACAGTAACGCCGTCGGATATTACAAAGAATCGATATGGCCACATCAAAAATACGTCTTGTCGACAGTATAATACATTAGGCATTAATACACTACAGTACCACATATT